CCCCCCGTCCCCTGTCATCATAGTTCACCTACCCGAATACACTATTTCTGGCTCTGTATTGGAAAGAGTTCCTAAAGGTGGCCAGAGTTGATATGACCAACACCGAATCAGAACTCTTTCCAAATACAGCTCAGTTGGAGTGTATGTTACTGTATATTAGGTAAACAATCTTCAAACTATTATTATCACCCCCCTCCCTCACACCCCGACTCAAAGTCCATAATAGATCTGCTATTTTGTACAACAGGAGCTATCAACATCCGTAGAGGTTCCATAAAATATGCCCTTGTATGGGCAGTAGCAGGTCTAAACTTATAGACATTTCTTAGCACCAAATACTCTCTCATCACACTTTTCTTTCTTTCCTCTCCCTCTGCCTTATGCATGCACCAGTCCGCACTTTATCAATTCTATCTTGGTCACCACACAATACCTTTTAACATGCACAGACGCGCACGCTGCACATAATACTCTAAAGAGGGTGATGCAGAATATATAGATAGATAGATAGATAGATAGGGACTTAATATTCGATATTTGCATGTACAAATTAAAACTATTTTGCATTTGAGACCATGGTCTACAATGACACAATCCTGGCCTTAAAGGCTTCAGGTGTGTCTATATCCACGATGTCTGGTGGAAGGGTATTCCAATCACGCACTGCCCTTGGAAAGAAGGACATTTTCCTTGTGTCAATGCGTGAGGACAGGAGTTGGTATGATTGGTTGTGATGTTGTCTTCCCGATTGTCTTGTAGGTTTTATCAGGCAGTTTTGTTTGCTGATGGCGACTAACTCTCTATCAATTATATACATCATTGTTAGTCGTGAATCTTTCCTCCTGTATGAGAGATTTTTCCATTTTAGTTTTTCTTGTATCTCGCTGACACTTGCTCTAAGTCTGTGTTTGTTTGCCACATATCTAGCTGCCCTCCTCTGGACAGACTCCACTTTATTTGTGTCGCTGACTGTGTAGGGGTCCCATACATTGCTGGCATATTCTACCAGAGGTCTTACTAAGGTGAAGTATGCTTTTTCCTTGATCCTTAATAATGGGATTTTAAGGTTACGACGTAGGAAGCCTAAGGTCTTGTTGGCTTTACTTGTTATGTTGTTTGTGTGTTCGCCCCAGCTGAGTTTGTTGGTGAATGTTAAGCCTAGGTATTTGGCTGATGTGACTGCCTCTAGGATATGGTCGTGTAGGTTGTAACTTTAGTTAATGGGTTTCTTCTTGTTGGTAACTGTCAGGACGGTACATTTGTCAGGGTGGAATTTCATGCAGCAATCCTCCTCCCATTGACCCAGCTTGTTTAGGTCTTCTTGTAGTGTTTCGGCATCACTGTTGTTGGAGATTGTGAGGTATGCTATGGTGTCATCAGCAAATAGTCTGACTGTTGATGATAGTCTTGACTGTAGATCATTGATGTAGTAGATGAATAGGCTGGGTCCCAGTACAGATCCTTGTGGTACTCCTGAGTCAACGTTAACCTCGTCTGATGAGACACCGACTATTACCACTGTTTGTTTCCTCCCAGTTAGCCAGTTCGAATTCTTGATCCAGTTGGTGGTTCTTTCTTCTATGCCGTAGTATTTCAGTTTGAGAGTGAGTAAGCTGTGATTCACTTTATCGAAGGCTTTAGCGAAATCCATGAATAGAATATCCGTCTGTTTCCCATCTTGATTTTTTTTTGAGATGTCATCAACAAATTCAATTAATTGGGTTTCACAGGATCGTTTTCATCTAAATCCGTATTGTAGAGGATACAGGATGTTGTTATTTTCTCCATGATTCATGATGTTACAGGCTATTATATGTTCCATTATCTTACAGCAGATAGATGTTAATGAGATTGGACGGTAGCTGCAGCAGGGGTGCAATTTCAATGGCAAGTTCTTTCAAGATTCTAGGTGTAATACTGTCTGGTCCTGGTGCTTTATATGGGTTTAACTGCTGGAGAAGTTAAGTTATTCCGTTTACTGTGATGTCAAATGGCTCCATTTTTAGCTCACCTGGCACGAAGTGCCAAGTGAGCTTATGCCGTGGTGCGGCGTCCGTCGTCCGTCCGTCCGGCGTCCGTCCGGCGTCCGGCGTCAATATTTTACTTTAAACGACTTCTTTTTAATAACCGAAAGGCCTAGGGTGTCAATATTTGGCCAGAAGCAAATTTGGATGAGGGGCTACCAAGTTTGTTCAAATAAATGACCTTCACCTATTTTCAAGGTCACAGGGGTCAAATATGTCAAAAACTTTAAACATCTTCTTCTCAATAACCAAAATGCCCAGGGAGATGATATTTGGCCAGTAGCATGCTTGGGTGAAGGGCTACCAAGTTTGTTCAAATGAATGACCTTCAATTATATTCAAGGTCACAGGGGTCAATTGTATTAAAAAACCTTTAAACAACTTCTTCTGAATAACCAAAATGC